GGTGGAGACCGACTGTCGCCAGGGCTGCCCCGCGCGCGGGGCCGGGCCACCGAGCGCCCCTGCTCGCCTCCCAGGGGCGCCCCGCTTCTCTCCAAGCTCGGTCTCCCCTCCGGAGTCTCAGAGCATCCGCCTTTTGGGGTTACCCAAGGCGGGCAGCCGGGAGCCGGAGGAGGGCACGCGCCTGCCGTCGCTCCTCTCCCGCATCCTGGTCGCGTTTCTCTGGTCCCCGCCCAGCCCGCGCCCAGGGGACGCCAGAGGCCCGTAGCCTGCACCCCCACCCCAGCGCTTTGGAGACCCTGGGATCCCTGCCCAGATCACCCCCCAGCTGGCTAGAGAGGCGCCCCCTGGAGAGGCCACCAGCGGCACCCCATCCCCCTCGGAGCTGTTCTCAGGACAATGGCCCCACCCGGGCCTTTGTTGCCCCCCCTCTCCCCCAAGGAAAAGGGCTCTTAGGTCCAGAAGGAAACGCTGCCTTGGTGGAGATGAAACTCTCCGACACCCAGTGGGGAGCGGGCGCGCCCAACCTGCCTCCCTTTGTGAGCTCCGGGGTCTAACCCAGCGGGACCTCTCCCACCGCCTGGGACAGTCATCTCCCGCCCAGGTCCAACGCCTTCGGGTTTAGGTGACACCCTCCGTGTGCCGTCTGGATCGTGTTACCACCCAGGGCCCCAGCTTTCCCACCCCAGGACCCCATGGCACCGCGGTCCAGGTGCAGCTAGTGTCTGCAGCCCGAGTCTGAATCCAGGTCAAACACGTGTGTGTGTCTGGCCGGCGGCAACCTCAGCAATCTTATGACACTAGCTGGCAAGGTTGTCTCCACGGCCTTGAAGGCCACGGTGGGCGGCTGGCTAGAGTGGGTGTGGAATTGGGAGCTTTAGTCTAGCCCCCCTCCAGGTTTGAGCTCTCCCCCTTGGAGCCCTCCCCTGCCGCTCCACCTTTACGCCTCCTGCCCGGGAATTTCTCTCTCCCCTGAACTTCCAAAGTCGCCCTCCTGGGGGTGCGTTTCAGCTTTGGGCAGGACTGTCAGGCACTTGGCCCTCACGCCTCGCCCTGTGCTGGGTGAGAGGCGGGCCGAGTGATGAGCCCCCCGCCTCTCCCCAGGCATCCTGGAGATCACGGCGGTGGAGGTGGGCATTGTGGCCATCAAGGGGCTCTTCTCCGGGCGGTACCTGGCCATGAACAAGAGAGGACGGCTCTACGCCTCGGTGAGTCCAGCCTCTCGTGCGGGTGGGCACGGGTGGAGCAGCCATCCCCTGGCACGGCAGCCGGTTCTCCCTCTCTCTAGGCAGAGAGCGAGAGCCGTCAGCTCCTAGGAGGGAGCCCAGGGGAAGGGAGACGGGACCATGGCCCAGGCACCCCGGCGGGAGCCCAGTCTACCCACCGCCAGGGCTTCCACAGCAGGAAAGGGTCCCGCGTCTCGGGGCGGGGGCGGGCCCTTCCCCCAGGACGGGGTGGGGGATACACGGAGGAAAGCCCACGTAACTAGGAAATGTGCTCCCTCCAACTACTCATTACGTGCAATTCGGCTGATACCTTCTTGGGCAATGAGAGGTTTTCCATCCGCACGTAACCTAGACGACGCAGCCCCAGGACCATCTCCAAGCAGTTACCTCCCTCCACTGGGGTTTGCAGGGGAGGCCCCGCCACCTTTGAAGTCGGGAAAGCGCCATCCAGCGGGGCTGCAGGAAGACCTGCCCTAGGCCGATTAGCTCCTCACAGGCCGCCCCGTTTGGCTAAAGCTGGGCTGCACCCGTCTGCTCGGGCCCAGCGGCCACTGGGGAGGCTGGATCTGGGAGGAGGGCCCTGGGGGGGCCTCTCTCTCCCCTCAGTGTGGTTTACAAGGTCCTGCCCTTAGCCCGGGGTCTGGTCTGAGTTTTCCCTGAGGTCGAGTGTGGCTTCCCGGTCCTTTGGAAGCTAAACTGACTTTCTGTTCTTGAAACAGCCTCAGACCTGTCCCTTCAGAGAGGGGACACCCAGGGAGGAGGTCTCGTTGGCCTGAAGTGATGGTGACCCATGGAGGGCCTCCCGTCCACACTGGGGACACCCACAGAGTAGGGCAGGGACGGCTGAATTGAGAGGGGGAGCCTAAGCCTACTGCCACCTCTTTCATGGGCGACCCAGGCTCCGGGCTCTGGGGGCAGAGCAAAGCATGAGCTGAGTGACCTCGGTGGGTCAGAGCCCACCCGTGGCTTCCGTCCCCGAGAGCTGACGGTGCTGGCTTGGGGGAGGGAGGGAGAGGTCCCGGCTTCACCGGGGGAGAGCCAGGAGGTCCAGCCGTGAGGCGTGGAACCTTCCAGAGAGCCAGCAGGAGAGGTCTCGCTGCCTTGCAGAAACCTGGGAGGGGAGGCGGCCAGGTGCCACCCTGTTACTGCCACCCAGGTCCCCATGCAAAGCACTGCCAGCTGGCCTGCGAGTGCTGTTCCCACCGCCCTGCCGCTTGGCTGGCTGGGTCCCCTAGTCTTTGCCGTGAACCTCCTGTTCACCCCATGCCAGCTCATCCGTTATGGGGCTCCGTGGCCATTGCACCCCGACAGCTCCCAGTCCCAGCCCAACCTCCCATCCACCCATCTACCCATCTGCCCCTCCCTCAACCTGTGGGGCAGGGCCAGAGGCCGAGGCAGCGGCTTTCTGAGTTCAGGCCCAGAGCCGGGACCCTCGCTGGGTCTCTAGTGGGACCCCACTGTGTCCCCCCCTTCCCTTCAATGCTCTTTTCCTTCTTCCTCGGTTATGTGATGTCTTCCGGCCC